AGATTTGGAGTTTTTATATGAAATTTTGGAAAAGAATTGATAAGTAGAATTTGAAGTTAAATTTGACTTGTCAATAGTTAAATTAAGAGATTTGGAGTGATAGAAAGAAATTTAGAACACGTTGAAATTTGAGTATGATTATTGAATTTCATAAGAGGAAAGGTTTTTTAGAATTAAGATGAGATAAATGAGTACAAATTGGCTTAAGTATGTGTGTTTGAGTTTAGTATATAAAAGAGGTTGAAATAGGAAGGGTTTAAGTTGAAATGAAGTATTTTTCGTGCTGAAAATGTAATTCTGGGCTAGGGGAATCGGTACCCATTCAAGGGGAACCGATATCCCTTCAAGCGAATAAAAATTTCCAGAATGTCATGGGGGAACCGATACCCCCACAGGATGGAACTGATTCCCCCTAAAGGAAAATTATAAATATTGGTTTAATAAGTTCGTTTAAGTTGCTAGTATCAAATTACAAGGTATATGTATCTAATAATTACCTTAAAATGTATAATTATGTAGATTCAGAGCCTAAAAGAGTTCCGGAATCATTGACAAGTAAGATCGATAAAAAGGGAATATAAGAGATTGGAATGGACTAGTGATGCCAGGTGAGTGCATATTAGTATTATATGATGTTAAATGAAAATAAGACTTGCGACAAGTCTATTTTCCATAGTAAAATGCATGAATTCATAAATAGAAGTATATATATGTATGATTTATATGTGTTGACATATTATTGTATATATGTATTATAGGGTTGCTGTGAATATGTGCTTTGTTATGATGATATAAACCATATGATATGATAATAAATTATATGAATATAAAAGATAAGTTATGTGATAAGATCTTTGATATATACATATATATAAATGAAATATTACTACGTGAATACATGCTATGAGATAATTTAAGTAATAATATGAGAATATGGTAAAAGTGAGTTTATGAGAAATGATATGAACTAAGTAAGCAAAGGTTACATAAATAAAATTATGATACATTAGTTGTATAATAGAAGCTATAGAGTGATATGAAATGATTATAGGAGTTGTACGGAATTGAATTAAGTAAATAGATTAAATTGTATATAAAAAAACAATAAAAGTAATATATTCAGGTTTATAAGTATAATGTAGGTTAGGTAATGTAAGTGCATACCAAGAAATACAGAATAAGGTAGATGATATGATGTAAATTATATTATGAATTAGTGATGTAGGAATGAAATATAAATATGCAATAAAACTTATGTGTTATATGATAAATATGAACATATGAGAATAAGAGATTAGATAAGTGACTTGGTGATAGAAGCTATATGACCATGGATTAGGTAAATATGAATAATTTAAGTGATATGTAACTATGAGTATTTGAGTATGTATCCATGTGAGGTGATTAATGAGGTTATATGAAATATTATATTATATGACTATGTGAGTATATGAAAAAGAATATAGGTACATGCAAGTTATATAGAAAGGAGTTGTGTAACCATGCCTGATATGTATTACATGTATGGGAATATAAGAGAATAAAACCTAAACTATATGAAAAGATATGATTCATGTGATGTGAACCATGTGAACATATGAGAAATTGTATAAGTTATATGTATTACATGATATATGTGATTTTACAAGAAATGACATGAGCTATGTGATTACATGATTATAAGATATCAAACATGTGATAAAAGATAATTAATATGCATGTGTGAATATGAAATGATATAAATGACAATGCTCATGTTGTGTGTCATGAGAGCTAAGGGTATAGTTGGCAAGCCAAGAGTTGAGGGTCTACGCGGTCCTTCGGGATATATATATATTCTTTGGAACATGTGTGAAGTCTTGTGAGACACATATTTGATCCCTAGTACATGTATATGATTCTTAAGGAATGATATGTGGTCCTTATAGACATTATTATATGGCACTACGGTGCAATTCTACGTGGCACTTCGGTGCATTTATATGAGCTGTGGTGACAGCATTAGTGCACAACCTCCATACTCACATATCTATAGTTCTCACATATGTACATGGGCTAATCAAGAGATATAAACAAATATATATGTTAGTGATATGATAAATATTATAGAAATGATATGATGTTGTGTATGTATAGTGTTTGATTGAAAATGTTAAGCATAAAAGTATGTGATTACATGATAAATTGCTAATGATGATTTATGTGTATGTATGTATTTATTGTTAATTAATCTGATATGATTTTACATGATATGAGGAAATCATGTAATTTGGTATAGCATGATAGAACATAACATGCATGTATTGATATATATTATAAAGTGCATTATAAGTTTTTATGCCTCACTAAGTCATAGACTTAGCGTGTGATTATTTCACACGTAGGTTACGGAAGCTAAAATAGAAGCGAAGAAGAGTAAGACAGGTCAGCATATTCCTTACAAAATTTCAGATCAAAAAATAGATGATTTTAATGGTTTTGGTTATTTTGAATATAGTTGACATATACTAATTGATTGAGTTAAATATGCTCTGATCGATTTTGGTTCTTGTGGTCAATTTATGTAAATAAACCACTTTTATTTTAATGAAAGTTTTAAATTTTCTTGATTTTTTGTCAAGAGTCAAAGTTTGAAAAGTCAATGTGACACCTCAGACTCGGATCCAGGTCGGGTATGGGTTGGGGGTGTTACAGCCAAACAAATAGACCCTAAGCAAATGCATTAGTGGTTTTGAACTTTGGGTAAATTCTTCTCATGGTCATTCAACTATTATGGGTTTCTTTTTTTACTTCGTTTATTTTACTACATTTAAAATTTTAATTTTTCTTTATTTTATTTTATTAGTTCCCTTTAATTTATTTAATATTTATTTATTATTTCTTATCTAACATTTTTGACATTTTAGGGGATTTTTTTAACCAATCAAAGGTAAGTAATTCAAATCGAATGTTTTTAATTTTAATTTTAATTTCAAATTTTCACGATTAAGACAACCGACAAATTAATTGGTACCGAAAGGGCAGTTCAGGGGTGTTAATCATTCATTGACCGTAATCGACTCCTGAACCCGACACATTTCTGGTAAAACGCAGATCATGTAAGATGTTGTCCGATCAGCCTAAATATCGTTTTAAAATGATCGGTGGCGACTCTAACCCAATTATTAAGTCGAAGCCCAATTTCGGGCTAAACTGAAAGACGATCACGACAATAAATATATAAGGTACAATTATATTATTTTTTCGGATCGAATTAAGAACTTTCTACACTAAACTAAGTTTGAAATTTAATATGATTCTAACGAGTTTTGATTTGAGTTGACTTAATAGTAGTTTTTTAAAATGAAATTCAAATTAAACAAAGTTTTATAAAATAATAAAATAGTATTAAATTCAAATTTATGATGACAACAGCAACATGACACGACACTCCAACTAATGAGTTCAAAATAAAATCAGCATGTGTGTTTAGTTTCCTTCACAAAGAAAGGTGACGCCTCTCGGCCAAGGTTAAATAGCAAGCGGAAATATACCCCATAAACATAGACTATTTATACAAACCCAAACTAACATCAACACAGCCCACATTATTATTATAAATACATCAAACCATGCCAACTGCCAAGATAAAGCCCCTTGTCAAATTATCATGATCCAAGGACACACATGGATAAACGACACAAAAAGGCGATTTTGGGCAGAAAACACTGATGTTTCGAGAAATTCAGAACATGAAGGACTCAAATAATCAAATATGGTAAAGTAAACAATTGATTTATCAACTAGCATATTATTTTGTAAAGTCCCCTATTATTAAAAGTTATAAAATGAGGCCCAATTATAAAGTATTGCCTTGTTGAGTCTCTCGACTGCTAAAAGTTACAAAATTGTCACCTAATTATTCATTATATTCCAAATTTGTCCTTTTTCGTTAAAATTAACGATCATTTGATTAAGATATGATAGTCATTTAAGATTATGAGGTCAAACTTTATCATATTTCAATCAACAAATTAAAAGTTATGCTCAAACTATCGTCATTTTTTTAAAGAAATAAGATGAATTTAAAACATAATGAATAGTTGGATGACCATTTTGTAACTTTTAATAGTTTAGGGACTCAATAAATTAACACCCTATAATCGTGAACCATTTTATAACTTTAATAGTCGGGGACTCAACAAAGTAATATGCTATAATCAAGGGACCATTTGTGTACTTTAGCCATTAGAATATTATGTATGTAAACAAAGGGTAAACTAGCCATTTTATACCTTCCTTTTCTCTTGTTCCATTCTCTCATTATTCCATTTAACGAATCAAACATACCAATAGTGAATTTATTGAAGTCTGACTGAATTGGGGAAGAAACAAGAAGGAAATAAATTTGTCACAGAAAACTTCAAAGGCATGTGATCCAAGTGGATCCTGCAAAGAGGAAAACATATTTGCTTATATACAAATTAAGGATAAACTAATCAGTTATGCATTGAGTAATTCACGGTGGCTATCGAATGGGAGATGCAACACTGACATTCCGAAACGAGAAGCTTACTGTAAAAGCCCAGGATGCTCTTTCTGTAGCAGTCGCTTTCATTTCCCTGCTGTATTATTTCATTAGGTCACATATCCATCCCCCAACGGCGGTCTTCAAAACAAGTTTACAGTGTCTATCGTACACACAAACTGGAAAATGCTACTACTAATTGTTCAAAAAATAAACCTACACCTTTCAGCATCTTTAAGTACTATAAAATCGTATCGCATCGCTGGATTCGTGACACAGCATTTGATTACATGCTGTTGCTGACCCGTGATGCCATGATCCATGAGACTCGTTCTCGTATAATATAGCAAAGTGAGTGTCGTGATATACATGGTAAAAGGGCAGAATTCTATACACTTGACAGGATGAGAATGCTGAGGAAAGAATACACCACTGAACACACCACATCCACATATTTACTATTCACCAAGATGGAGAATTTAAGATATAGGAAGAAACGAACATTATGAACAAGTATCCGAACAAATGTTTCATTGTCTGTGCCTTTTCGAGAGTCACTCCAACCATCATCGTCATCGTCTTCATCTTCATCACTTCCGGCCAATGCCTATCTCAACAGTATGTGATTTTATGAATTGCACCCATGCTCATAAAATGCAAAAAAAAAAGGAACAAAAGAAACAAGACAGACAGACAGAAAGACGAAGGCAATCACAAACCTGGCGAATTGCATTGGCTTTCTCCAAAATTGCTGCTAATCTTAAGTTGGTTTTAGGACCCTGAATGCTGGGTCGGGTAACCATAGCAGGCTTCAAGTTGAAGGACTAGAAAGCAAAATAACAACCCTCAGTTTATCTATATGCAAATTCAACTTTAAAAACATCTTTTTGCTTTTCTTTAAAAGAATGGAACAAAATGAATGTAATGGGGAATTGGATCTAACCTTGGTTCGTATCTGTTCCAGCAATGAGCCTCTTTCATCTACCTTTGGAATGACTGGAGGCTGCATCCGCTCAGTTACCTCCTCAACTACACCAAAATTGAAATTGTTACTTACAAAATGAAAAAGGCAGACCGAAAAGTGGGGGAAGAAAGATGAACCAAATGAAAAGCTATAACTACCTTGCTTTTGTCATGAGTAACAACAGCATCAATGAGAGGATTGCGAGGTCGAGGAAGCTTCACAGTTGGAATCTCATTCGAGCTTTCATCTTCAACTGGTGATACAGCAAACATAACTGATGGCCATACTGCTACACCCTCTCAAGTTGAAAGATCATGGTGCACAGTTGTATTTGATGACTGAAATTTCTACGTCTGCAGAGGTCAAACCATGCTTAAAAATGGCATTTGATATCTGCGAAGATTCTCCCTCTGAAACTACCGAACCTAGCTGAGGCTGCTCCTCTACCTTGGTTGGAAACTGAACTACTTCTATAGGAATATCACCCACTATCTGGGTTGGTATCTGTTCCTCTCTCTTAATTGGTGGGGGCACATATATTTTAGGAAGATACCCCTGTTCTCCCCCAGAACTCTGCTCAGGGTGTTGATATGCCCCACCTTCCAAACCCATATCCAGTACAAATTGGTCTGGAGGTTGTTCTCATGCTAAGATACAGTAATATGTCTAGAGGTGGTATCAGTAGCCGGAATCAGCAGTGAGTAACTGGACTCCACCCTGTCATCTTCCATAGTAATGGAATCATATCCGATGCTTCTAGTAGATATTATGGGCAAAGATGGGTTTAAGTGTGTTCCACCAAAACAGATATCATTGAATTGGCTATTAGTGTGCAGGAATGGCATGGGATGGTGTTGTTGTGCTGGCAGGACAAAAATGGTGATTATATATATATTTATATTATTTTAAATGTGATAAACATATACAATACTAAGTTAAAGATTTAAATCAAACTTAAAAATCAATTCTTTAATCATTAAAAATTCGAGCATCCGAGTTGTATTTTATAAATTTACTAGAGTTTAATTATTTGATTCGAGTCGAATTATAAAATTATAATTTAAATCTAATTTTTTAATCAAATTGAATTGTTTGCTTTTTGAGGTCGAGTCTACTTTTACTCGTGAGATAAATTTTATTATTATTGTATATTGATTTTTGATTTTGCCATTACTGGATATAGCCGTAAATCTGAATTACATGGAAGAAATTTAGGAAGGTGCGCTGAAAAGTCTTTGGAAAAAGAACAATTCATCCCAACTCCACCACTAACCTTCCGCCTATACAAATTACAAATCCTCCATTCTCCTTCCAACAACAATTTCAATTTGTTTCTCAGAATAAACATCATCATGCCTGCTCAAGTCATGCCCGACAATACCCTGCAAGGCCTCCATGTCTTGGGCAGAGAAAACAATTCTTCCCCTCATCCTAGAAGGTAAACACCCTCATCTCCATAGCTTCTGCACTACTACTTCTCTTTCATAAATTTTAAGTCCTTGGTGCTGTTGTAGGGTGGAGGGAAAGATTGCTATTGTCACCGGCGGAGCCAGAGGGATCGGAGAGGCCACGGTGAGGCTTTTCGCCCGACACGGTGCCAAAGAGGTGATTGCAGATGTGGAGGACACTCTTGGTGCCGCTCTTGCTAACTCATTGTCTTCTTCCGTAACGTTTTTTCATTGCGATGTGAGCCAGGAAGAAGACATCGAGAACTTGATAAGCTCGACGGTTTCCCGGTACGGCCGGCTCGACATCCTTTTCAGCAATGCCGGGGTGCTCGGGAATCAGAAGAAGCACAAAAGCATCTTGGATTTCAACGTCGATGAGTTCGATGACGTGATGAGGGTGAATGTGAGGGGGATGGCACTCGGAATCAAACACGCTGCACGTGCAATGATTCCCAGAGGTGGCGTTGGGTGCATCATTTCAACGGCGAGTGTAGCTGGAGTAATGGGTGGACTCGGTCCACATGCTTACACAGCCTCGAAACACGCTATTGTCGGGTTGACGAAGAACACCGCTTGTGAATTAGGGCGATTCGGGATCAAAGTGAACTGCATTTCGCCGTTCGGGGTGGCGACGCCGATGCTGGTGAATGCATGGAGAAGCGACGACGAAGAAGACGATGAGAGCCCAGAACAAGTGGAGAAGACGGAGGAGTTCGTGAGAGGGCTAGCCAATCTGAAAGGTCCGACATCGAGGGCTAAAGACATAGCCGAGGCTGCATTGTATCTTGCTAGCGATGAATCTAAATATGTTAGGGGCCATAATCTTGTAGTTGACGGTGGAATTACAACCTCCAGGAATTATGTTAGCTTGTAACATCATCATCGTCTTCTTTTCATCTCTTCATTCCTTATAGATTCTCAGTCTCATCCTTCCTAGTTGTAAATTTTCAGTTGATTTTTATTCCAAAAAAAAATATCGATTTGAGTTTAAAAGTTTTGTTGTCGCCATGCATTTTGTTTTGTTAGTTTTTGATGGTACGTAAGCTGCAGTCGCTAGGGAGCTACGGGGAAGAAGGAAGATTAATAACCAATAAATTCAGCGTGTAATGCTAGTTAGAGTCCAGCACGATATTACTTCTTTTTCTGACTTATTTACGAAAATAATATTTTTAATGTTTTTAAGTAAAATAATTCCAAATAATATTATTAATCATAATAACGACTTTTAATAAAGGTGTGTCCACATAGAAGGGTTAAAATGAAAGAAATGTAGAATAATGGATTAGAAACAACAAATTTTTGTCATAACATCTTATATTGTTTATATATGAGTTTTTTTTAAAGATATTTAAATATAATCTTCTAAACATTGTGATTAAATTTAAGATTTTGATATACATGTCATCTAACTCGTATAAATATAGATTTTCAACACATCACATGTTCGTATTGTTTCTATTTGAATAAAATTTCTACATGTTTTTAAGCTCTTGATTCATTATTATTTTTATTTATTTCATTTTGATTTTAGATGACATCAACATGGAGGAAATTACATGAATAACCTGCCATGTAGGTAAATACGAGCTTCTATGTGAGTGTACTTTTATATATAAAAAAAGTGTTATTTTAATAAAAAGGGAATTTCAGTCTTAATTTCAATATGAATTTTATTCTTTTTTTGTGTTTGGCTTCTCATCTTTGATCCGTCACCTCTCACAGTTAGATTGTCGAGACTTTTCGGTATGTTCTTCTTTGGTGTGCAATCAAAGTCCTCACCATTCGAATCTCCGAAGTAACACTCTGGTTGTCGGAAATCACCAGATGCCGAAAGTGAATTCTTCTCTTTTCTTTCTTTTGGCTTCCTTAAGCTTATGTTTTTTTTTTTTTTTGCTTCCTTCGACTCGGTTTTGAGCGACATGAGGGTTCGTGGCTTGAGGCTGTCGCGGGGGTCACGACGTATCAACAAGGTTATAGTGCGGGTAGAAGGTGTAAGTGCGCATGTGGAATTGTGGCAGTGAATGATGTACGTATTATTTTGGGTAGACATTAAAATCCAATTCTTTTGGGTCACAACCTTCCTTTTTTCCCCTCTCTTTTCTTGTTCATTTTTTTAATGATCTAGCTTATGTATTCTTTCGTTTTGCCTAGCCCTTCGTCATTTTGTGTTTTGCAGGAAGATCTAGACGAAAATCAAGATCTCGATTATTCGGATGAGTTTAAAATACAATCGATTAATATAAGGTTAAAAACGAAAAAAAATCGATTGTAACAAAAAAATTTACTAAGAGTGTAACTTTCTAGAGTAATCTAGGTAACATTTATGTAGAAATTGAAAATATTATGTTCTCTATAACAATATAACAAATTAAGTAAGTTGCATAACTATTCCGTTTGGAACCTAAAAAATTATAGTCAAGACATTCTCTGCTGTAACTGAAATTATTATTAATTATGTAACTTTTTAGAATATATAAGTAACATTTTAGGTTAAAATCCGTCACAATAATATTCGGTTGTAATTAAAATGAACCTTAATAATTCAGATTAAAATCCGCTATAAATTAACCTTAGATTAGGACGTCAGACAACATACCCACTACTTTAATTGTTCAGGTTTGTTGAGAGATCATCGCAAGTTGAGAGAGAAAGATTATGTGACATTTAACCGAGTTATTCGGTGGATTGGATATGATTTTGACTCGTATCCGGTTTTATTTAGATTGACTGGGCTGTTTGGGCTCAAATAGGCTTAGGTGATTTTGGTGTAATTTAAACTTGTTTGAATCTGATTCGAGTCCTAAAATGTGGGTTTTGACCAAATTGAAATTAATGTCTATTCTCTTAATATTCATCTCGATTCCATGTCAGATGTAATTTGTGGATAAAACGAAAGAGTAACAATCTATCATGTCCACTGGTTCTAGGAGACGAGGTAAAGTCCGGGATAGACACAAGTATTTATATTATAAAATGTGAATTTAAGAAATTATATTAAGATTTAGAAATACGAAATTATAAAATTTCACATAACACGAAAGTAAATAATCATCTAAAAACATAAAAAATTAAAATTTTAAAAATATGACCGCTTCCGCACCCCTCGGGCATCTCTTAGTAGAGTCAATACCGTGAATAATACAACAACAATTCAATCATGGGCGGGGGAAGCATAATAATGGCTAATTGGTTCTAGTCATCGACCAAGGTTCCCACTTCCCAGTTACACGAGGGGGAGGGTCAGATCCAACAACCCTCATAAATGCATGCAAGGCCTTGTCACAATCTAATGCTACCCATAAAATATTCCATAATTTAATTAACGATAAACTATGGCCTTTCAAATTGCAATATTATTGCAAAAGTTTAATGTCGGTCTGAAGTCTAATCTATCCATAATCAAGGACGGATATATGATTTTAAATTAAGAAGTGTATTTATAAAATTTTAAAGAAATATAAATTTATAAAATTTTAAAGATGAAAATAAAATTTTCAAGAAAAAAATATCTAAAATATTTAGAACTTTAAAAAATTCAGAGAAAATTCTGTCCTCATCCACCCCTTCGATTCATCACTGTCAGTCATTTTGATTTGGTCCTCTATGCAAATTATTGGCGTAGATAAACTCCACGTTCTAGGTCCCTCAAATTATATATGCACCAGTACTAAAGTCCAGGCAATGATGTAGTCAAATTTATGTTATTTTGTAAGGCTATTTTATTTTCTAGGGTATTAAAAATTTTATATTGTATTTTATTATTGACAGGTGTTATGAGAATATGTCAATGTAGGTATCTCTTCTGTAATATTGATCATTATTATATTCTTCATTTCCCCTTATAACTGAAAGTTTTTTTTAATGAGGTTAATGATCTTGTTTGACCATTTTCTTTCAATAAACATCACATATTGCTGAGCAAAACATATACATACACACACAAGAATAAGTGGTTAGAATCAACTTATATAATGTAAATATTTTTTAAGTTTTACTCGGATTTATAATGTTAGATGAATGGAAATAGACGGTTGAGATTATTTCTTCGTGTGTATATAAATATGAGTTAGGATCTATTTACCCAATGTAAAAAAATTAGTTTTACACTTATTTAGGATCGTTGAATGAGTGAAAATAAACGGTTAAGGCTATCTTCTTATTTATATATATATCTATTTGGCAAATTATAAATTTTCAATTTACAATAATTCGTCTGCCTAATTTGCATTTAAGCTTGAGAATGGGTATCTCCTGTAAAATTAGGAGGCAAAGCAATTTACCAAGTGTATTGATATGGAAAGAGCTTGGTTAACTGTACATGCATGCATGCAGGCTGAAAGCGATGGCGTGACAACTGCTGCCAACCTGGTGCCTTCGGAGCCTCTTAACTATGATCATGATTGGCAGAAAGGGAGATCTCATCTCCCTCGCTCTCAACTCTCAAGCATAACAGTGCATGTTTGTCGGTTTTATATAATTTTGGATAGTTTTGTTACGTGATTGTCTAATTTACAGTTAATTTAAGACGATTTTTAACTTAAAATATTATTTATTTAATTTAAAAAGTTATATAAATTTATATATTTTTGGTTATAATTGAAAATTTACATTACAAAGGGTTTATGACTTATAATCGAAAATATTATGAAGTACGTAACATTTTGAGTTGCAATAAAAAATTTACTCTGTCCAACATAAAAAGTTACACTCTTGATAAGATTTTAAGTTAATATCAATTTCTATCGTTTTTAACATTATATTAACAAATTGTATTTTAGAATTTCTGTATAATTTTCAAATTATAGTTACGAAAACTATTTCCATTTGATATTGTAAATTATTTCTAATTAGGGTTAAACATACATAAATATATAAATAAATAGTAATTTTTTTATTAGTTTGGAGCGATAAAAGATAACATCTTATTAGAATATTAATCAATCGACAACAAATAATATAACCGTTTAAGTCTAGAGATTTTAAAAGGAAGAATACTTCGTTTCAACGTTATGGTCAATTAATAGTTTGTATATAACAAGTTTTAAATGAACAAACCATCATGGTTTTTCTCAAGGCCTGGCCAAAGTATTAACAGAATGACGGTCCAAGTATGTGTTGGGACTTGGGATGTATACCTAAAGTCACATATGAATTTCCTTTAACGGCAAACAAAATATCTTATTACCTGGAGGGAAATCGAATGAGAATTCTATAAGAAAAGACGAAAAAATATTTTTGATAAGCCTAAAACTTATAATTTAAAAGAATATAAAAAATAAAAATAAATATCTTAATCAACTAGTATACTTTCTCATCGATAAATAAAAGTTAAACAACATGAACCAACATCAAAGCAAGTAATTTAATGGATGACAACAAAAGAAGCAATAAATTAAGAGTTTCTTCTCTATGCTCATCGTTAGGCTTTAAATTATGGGTAATCAACACATATGATCTCTCTTGTTTTTGTTAAGTTCGATATTAGTCAGTAGTTTTGAAAATGTTTGGTTTTTTTTTTTCACTTTTATTTTCAGTCTATCTTATTTTAGTCATTTAGTAATTAACTTCCATTATTTTGTTGATGTGACACGTTAATAAAAATACCTTAACCTTTAAATTTGGGATAAAATGTTAATTTGACCTTAAATTTTACATAAAATACTAATTTAACCCCTAAAATTTATAAAAAATATCAATTTAACCCCTGAATCCATTCAAAGTTCACGTCGCTGGCAGCTACTCATGACCGTCAGCTATCGTCACCAGTCACCGTCGAACATCATCACCAACAAATGTTGGATCCCGAAATTTTCAGTTTACCCCATTTTGACCTCCCGAACACGAATCTAAAGTTCGTTTCATCGAAAAATAAAAGTTCGAAAAAATAAAATTTAAAATTAATAGAAAAATTGAATATCAAATTAATTTATTTTGTAAGCATGTTACTTCAATTTCTTTTGTAATTATGGAATTGACCTTAAATGCTAAAAATTACTAGTGGAGTTCCTAAAAGTAACTTTAAAGGCATAATTGGACTTTTGATTATCAAAGCATGCTCAAATGGTAATTTGATATTGCAAAGTGTTATTTCTAATACCCTCGACCGGTTTAGTCTAAACTCGGATTGGAGATGTAATAGAAAACGAAAATCAAATTCATATAATTATTCGTTGAACATTCCATTCCACATTATAAATTCAAATCTCAAACATGTCATAACCATCATGAATATTCATTTTCTAGAGAGTTATTTTGATTAGGATACCAAATTATAATTTTACAAAATTTAGGAACTAATTTGTAATTAATCAATAATTAAGGGACTAAACTATAAATCAATCAAAACCTAATATCTTTAAGCTAGTTAATTATTTCGGGTCATAAAAACCACTTGTTACGTATTTAGAGGTCATATTCATCAAATTAATTCATCTATAACATTATTAAGGTGAGAGTTTCGAAACCTACCCCAAAATTTTGAAACTTGAATCAAAGTATAGAACCCTAGACTTACTATAATTTAAAGTTTCGAACTCTTTATTATTTGTCAAATAACTGAGAATGATCATCGTTCTCTTTGTCAAAGACTCACAATTTTACTCCTCTTCAACAATAAAGATCGTAATTCATCAAACTTTGACATAACTATATGACATACTAATTGTACCTATATTAAACTTTTAACCCAATAACAATACTTATCATAATTTTTTACATTGATTCTTACCTGTGCTTATCAAGTACATATCTTTCTTATAGCTTTACACATAATATCATAGTTTAACTTGATTCATGCTTGTAAATTGTTCATATCATATGCACATAAAACATATCACAATATATATCCAGTAAAATACATATGTTTTTATCATGGTTGCCATGATACTTTCTTGCCACTCAAAGCTTCGCTATAAGAATTTGGTTAAATTGCAGCTCTCATCCCTATACATAAAAGGGCTTCAAGACCTTACTCGCATTCCAACCTACAAATTCCACATGTTATACAATTTATACTTTATTCATAGACTTTCAAGATTAGACCCGGTTAATTCGAAGTTATTAATAACCCATACTTACGTGTTCAAAGATCTAATTCAAATAGCGAAAAATAAATTTTGATTATTAGAGGTTAAAAACATTATTAGATCAATTTTACAGGTGTTACATGATTCTGACTTGTTTTGACATGTTTAAGATGATCCAAGTATGTTCATGTATATTTATCGACTTTAAGATCAATTAGGTGTGAGATTGATAACTCACAAAAGTACGTTTAAGCTATTTTTAACTATTTTCTAAAAATAATCGATCATTTATGTCTTGTTCTATGTGAAATTTTGATGCTACTAAAATCGGAAGGATCGATTCCTATGATAAAAGGATTGATCCCTCAAATTGGAAATCTCAAATCTTTTTAAAATTATTATTTTGATCCCAAAATTTTTATTGAACTTAAGATACATATATAATTGATTATACTGCAAATTGATCCCTATTTTTTTTTGAAAATAACAAATTGATCCCTAGAAATGCTAAAAAAAGTCATTTAATAATCAATAATTGAGATAGATCATCTGTCATGTCACTCGTAGCTGCCCTAAAAGGGACTTTTTTGCTATAAAAGCCTGAACTTTAGGACATTATTCCTTGCTCAAATTTATTTCAAATTCCTTTCTTATAATTTGAGTTTTGCTAGCTCACTCTATTATCTTCTTTCTTTCATTTTCAAAACAGATAATGGAATCCAACAAGAATGAAGTATTGGTGTCTGAACCGGACTCAAACCCAGAAATGGTAAGCAAAGCAGTTGTGGATACACTTTACAAAGCATTGGCACGTGGTGAAACCAGCACTGTGGTCAAACTGCTTACAAGTGACCTGGAATGGTGGTTCCACGGCCCTCCACGGTGCCACCACATGATGCGGATGCTCACCGGGGAGTCGAACCACACCGAATTCAGGTTCGAGCCGAGGAGCGTGGAGGTGGTCGGTGATTGCGTGATTGCAGAGGGTTGGGAAGGAGCACAAGTGTATTGGGTACATGTATGGACGTTGAAAGACGGTTTGATTACACAGTTTAGGGAGTATTTTAATACATGGTTGACTGTGAGGGACGTGAAGCCACCACCGGGGTGGGATATGGGCCACGGCTGCCACACTGTGTGGCAGAGCCAGCCCAGGGACTTGGCACGACGCTCATTGCCTGGCCTTTTGCTCACAATATAGAGATGTGAAGCCACTTAATCATGGCTTGTGAGTGCGACATTACATGAAAATGGTCAAATATGGAATTGCATTAAGCATGTCTAATATGAATTGTATTATGTAAACCATGTTTTGCATGTGGGCAAGCTCTCAAAAAACCAGGGCACGGCTTCGTTATGTATCTTTGCTTAATGGTACTCTTTTAAGGAAAATGGTAAAGTACACAATGGTTCCTCGACAATAGGGTCATTTTGTTGATTTTCCGACTATTAAAAGTTACAAGATGGTCACATGATTATTTGTATGTTCCAAGCTCATTATTTTTGGGTAAAAATTGACGATGTCAGAGCTAGACGTTAACATGCTGATTGAGATATGATAGTCGTTTGAGATTCTGAGATCAGATTTTACATATCTCATACAACAAGGTAATGTCTAGCTCAAACTGTCATTAACTTTTTAACGAAAAGGATGAGTTTGGAACATATGAATAGTCAAGTGACAATTTTGTAACTTTTAATAGTCGGTGACTCAACAAAGCAACGTCTATAATCAAATGACATTTTATAACTTTTAATAGTTGAGGGACTCATCAAAGCAAAGACATATAGTCAAGGGACCATGCACTTCATCCTAAGGAAATAAAACTTACAGATTTGGATCGGTCAAGAATGAACTAAAATCAAATGATAGGAAGGATTAAAGTGATTAGTTTTGAAAAAAAATACTAATTATTTAAAATTCAAATTTGGTTGGTTAATTTTTACACTTATAAGGAGTTTAAGGTATTTAGGTCTTGTAAAAATTATTAGAAGAGAGAATAATTTTCTAAGATTACATGTGTCACGTCATTAATTAAACACATGAAAATTTCATAAGTAACATGTGTTGACGTTGATTATTAATAATTTATCCAACATGGATCATTTTAACAAAAAAAATGAAATGTTTGGAGACTAAAATACTCCAGGAAATGAATACGAATTAAAATGATCATTCGAATAAACATTGGAACTAATTTTAACATTATATCTTCTCCATTTCCTTCTCTAACCCTGGGTCTCAATTTCAATTTTTTTCTTTTTCGATTTTGTATTTGGTTTTATGGGATGACATTGAATAGCTGAAATGGTTTTGAAGCCTCGTTTTGTTTGGTTACCAAAGGGGGAAAAACCATATTTTGATGCACCTTTTTTCCCCTTCTTGCAGTGAGGCAAAAGGATCGACACCAAAAGGGAGAATACCAAATTACATTTCTCCCTCTATCACTCCACTTTAAGTTTTTCATTTTTTATTTCTCTTAATTTCCCTCTTTTTTTTATTAGTCTGGTATGAATAAATGTAGTATTTGTTCAAAGACTCTCAATCATTTGACATTGAACGCTTATACACCCCTACATACATAATGCTCAAACCTAGAACTTCAAGGAATAACAATAATTCCTTAACTACTAAGGTCACTTGGTTCGTATCCTCTTTCACGCTAAATATTAGCGTTGTTATTAAGATTTGATGTAATTGTATTAAATGGCATATTAATGATCAATCGATCATCTATATAGAAACATTAGAGAAAATAAGTTGGCCCCTTATTTAATTGTAATAAGCCAAGTTTAAGAGTATAGAATTGGCATAAACTTATATTGTATACCACGAATCTTGATGAGATTGTATGCATTACACACAAAATGATGCTTTTGTCCAGGAAGACGATATTCTTTCTTAAGTTTCCCAAACTTATGATGTAATTATGCAAGTTTGTCTTGCTAGATAATTCTTCGGTTACCATACCACTTTATAAGTAAATTTCAATAGCTATGACCTGGAAACCGTGGTTCCATTCTACGTGGGATGGGCATGGATCAAGTTAGGTTGGGCTTTTGTTCAATCTGATCCGACTCAAAAAATATAATCTTTATACCCAAAACTCGGTCTGACCTTAAGTTAAAGTGGCTTCACCCATCCCGCTTTTTGAGACAAAATTTGAATCCGATCCGAAATAAATATATTTATTAAAATATTAATTTTATGCGATAAAATAGAGATGTAATTGGAAAAAATAATATAAAGAGGAGTAATATTGCAATTATCCCTAAAATATAAGATATAATTATATTATTTTTCAGATTGGGTCAAGTCCGATATTTTTCGCCCTAAACCCGAACCAATCAGGTCAGGTCGGGTCAAAATGTGTCGAGTTCGGCTCTTGTGCCCCATCCCTAATTTCATAGGCCTCCCATTGCCAGCATTCTGAATGCGGTTTCACACTCGCGGCCTTAATTTAACATGTAACTGCCAATTGTAGCATTAACAGATTGCTATATCAGTTATAGTTTCGTTACGATTTTTTTTTTAAGAAAAAGACCCAACAATCCGTTATGGCAATAAAAATTATTATGTTTTAAAATAAGTCAGGTGAATTTTAAAAATAACTGACAGTATTATTCTCTTGTTTGACAGAAGCAAATGAAAGACAAAACTGTTGGCATATTCCATCTAACACATTTTTGGTTTCGAATAACAACCGAAGATAAGCAATTACATTATAATGAGATGCTCAGATCAGACTAGAAGAGTTAATACTAAGGGGAAAAAATAGCAAAGCAGAACTCCAAAATCCTAACCTTCAGGTTCATTGTTGCTCCATTTGTTATCTCCCGTCAGCTCATCCAGGATTAGAGCATTACTCTTTCCAATGTGGTAAGGGTCTACAAGCCTCATCTATTGATATGGAAATTCAACTATTACTCTTTTATTACTTCTCTATGCTTTTGCAGTTGTTCATATGATAATATAATGCCCTGAAAAGCAGCTGTTCTGTTTATAATTTCAGAAAGGCTTGTATTACAAATAAGTACCTAAAGTATATCATCTTTTTCATTTGAGTACCTAAAATATTTTTTGGTCAAAGTAAGGTCCTAAAGTTATCTTTTTGGTCAAAAGATGAAAAAATTGAATACTTTAGGTACCTATTTTGACCAAGAAGATAACTTTCGGTACTTACTTTGACCAAAAAACACTTTAGGTACTTATTTGTGCTATAAGCCTTTCAAAAATATTCCCAATCTACTTGAAGTCCAAGCAAGTCTTTCTCACACACCCTACTTTAAGGAATAAAAGTGTAGAAATGGTCTTCAGATCCTGTGACACAAGGTTTGTAGACCTCTCTAATTACTAGCAAGATCAATCAAAGTGGTATGGAAAATTTTGAGTCTAGCTTCAAGCTAAGGAGAAGTGCTTCCCAAGCTCTAGCACCGGGAGAAATATTCTTGACAACCATTTTCCCGACGAATTCGAGTGCCTTGCAAACTAACCCTCTTTGGCATAGACCACAGATTACCTCATCAAATGTCAAACCCTCGTGGAAATGGCACTTGTGCAACACTTCCTCCACCAAAACAAATGCTTCAAGAATTTCACCTTTACTTATCAAACCATCAATTATTATCATATACGAAACTGAATTCATTTCAATGCCCTTATATTTCATCTCTCTAACAAGCTCCCTAGCTCTACTTATATCTCCTACTTACAAATTGTCCCCAACAATGTATTATAAGTGACAACATTAGGTTTGCACCCTAACTCCTCCATGCAGGCTAGCATCTTGATGCCCTCTTCAACTTTGCTTTGCTTGCATAAAGCCCCAATATAGGCGTTATAAGTATAAACATTCGGAACCAAACCCAACATAAGCATTTCATCGAACAGTTCATCTGCCAAAATGTAATCACCTTCAGCAATTACCCCACTCAATACCATAGTGTAAGAAACAACCCCCGGCTTATTCCATCGGATTTCATTTGATTTAAAACATCACAAGCATCAAAGCCTCTCCTTTTTTTGACGAAAAACCTAATCAAGCTATTATAGTCACCCATAGCAGGAGAAAACCCAAGCTTTCTCGATTCTCTCCAAAACCCCATAACGTCTTCACCATCCAAATCCCCCTGAGCACAAATCGATGACAGTACAAAAGAGAAAACTTTATCACAAACACCAAGGCCATCGTCTATCATACGTTGTAGAATCCCTAGAGCATAACCAACCTTGTTCATTCTACAAAGAGCGTAAACTAGCAAACGGAAAGTAGATTCTTCGAGTCTTATGTTCATATTCAGACTGTTTAAGAGTACCCCAGGGAGCAGCTCAAGGCCACGTTGGGTTCTACAAAGAACTGTAAGTAAAGAATTGAGAGAATGGGCTGAAGGGACGCACCGGAACTTGGGGATTGAGTAGAAAACATCAACCGCATCATGGATTCTGTTAGCTTGACCATAGGATTCGATGAGGTGGGTGAAAATATACTCGGGTGTTTTAAAGTGTTGGAGTTGAAGGTGATGGAGCAGAGTGTGGATGTGGTTGAAATGGCGATTGTGGAAAAAAGTTTTGATGAGGAAATGATAGGCTTGAGGGGAGTGGTGAAGGTTGTGGAGGCTAAGAGAGGTTAAGAGAGAGGGGATGAAGTTAGGTTGGAGAGGGTGAGTTTGAGCTACGAGTTTTTTGAAGGAAAGCACGGATTGGTGTTGGGTGAAATTTTGGTGCCATTTGGATTTGGAAGAGGAAATCTGCGGCCATTTTCGGTGCTTTCTTAGAAAATAGTTGGGAGATCTCACCATCTCCTCTCTACACAACTCAATCTACACGTAATTTATATTGGCTTAATATAAGGTTGCCCTTACTATATGATTGGAAGTCTGTTTTAGAATTATGTGGGTGTTTTTAATTTGGGTAAAGTACACAAATAGTCCCTAACTATAAGATATTATTTTTTAAGTTTCTTGACTATCAAAATTATAAAATGATCTCCGACCATAGAGTGATACTTTGCTAAGTCCCGACAAATATACATTACTTGACAACACTTATATGTTAATGAAAATGGTTGGTATATGAATTAGTCCCTGCAAATTATGAACGGTTACGTGTTAAATTCAATTTAGTCCTTATTAGGAATTATTCTTTAAAAGAAAAAAAACATTGAGATGGTTAATTACCAAATAAATCAATTGTACAAAAGTCCTTCACTGGACGCTTCTACTACCCAGACAACAAGAGCTAGCTAATTCCCATTTTTATTGTTGTGCAGCTAATAACTAACACCTGAAAACGCAATCAGCAGTGAATAACAATGCTACAACTAAATATTAAAAGGCACTGCTTTGCTTTGAATCAACCTGATGTTGAAACAGCTTCATCACAGGTTGCTTCTTCCTCGGGGAAACTGGGAGGTTTCGGAATCAGTCCGAGGATTTTGAACATGTCTTGATCAGCATCATAATCATTGTTTGGAGTTGTCAATAGCAAGGAAACACAATGCCTGCTCAGGCATGGAGAAACGAACTCTCCCAGCTGACAACTATCCATTGATGTTGGCATGACTATACGAGCAGTGGCAATCATCCATATCATCTCCCATATTTCCACTGGCTGAACAAGTGATGACAAATATTAACTAAGCCACTGATTCTCAAGCTCACTAAATTATTCTAATGCATTCATCACAAGTCAAGAAAACACACCAAGGATATTTAACCAAAGGAAAAGGCGTAAACTTAAGGGACCTATTGGCTGACTAATCCGAATCGAGTTTGCAGAGACCCATTAGAGGTCAATCTTCCCAACCCAATTTTCTTCATTCACAATGTTAAGATTCAAACCCCTTACCTTTGCTTAAGGGACATAGAGCCTCTTCCCACTACACCAACTAGAAGTTGGTTAAAGAGTAACAAGATAATGGTTGGAGATACAATTAAGAAATGTCCTAATTCAATTTTCCTCTTCAGTGGAAGAAATGTTATGTATAAAATATGAAGTTCAGTCAAAACAAGAACATAAAAATTGAAAAACGTAGATGGAGAAAATAAGAGTTAGAAAAAGCAAGCACATGACCAGAAGGACTTATACTATATTCTTTCAAAATGCTTAGCTTGGGAAAGGGAGGAGTTGAAACTTCACTCAAGAGGCGAAATGTCCAGACACAGCCTCGGACAGCAAAGGTCCTCAGTTATATTGCTTCGAAAACGTCAACCAAAAGAAAGACAAAACCGTGGAATGGGCAGGAAAACAACCAACAAGGTTACAAACACAAAGTTCATTGACTGCAAACTGTTGTTCTATTTTTACTAAACAAAAAGTTCTATTGACCGCAAGCAGTTCACTTATATCTCTATCACAAGACAACACAAAAGTCATGTTATGCACGCATCTTTGTATCTGTACTAGCAGAAGAATTACAGCAATAAAGAGGAAAACGGAAAAAATAATAATTAAACAGCAGCCAATGATTATGCTTTATTTCAGAGTTAGAATTACCTTTTGATCTTGAAGAGGTGTGCCTTCCACTGCAACCAAGGCATTAATGGGAACACTCTCTGGGTGAGTGGGAAGTGTTGCCAAAGTGTGAAGTAAACCAACCCGGTCCTCTTCTGCTTCCCCGAGCCCTATAATCCCCCCTGTTAATAGAGAAGTAAATTAGCATTATTTCAGTTAGAAGTAATTATAACTAATATTTATTAGATAAAACTCAGAATATATAGAAGCTAAATGATAGAACTTATCTGGAGGTTAACATTGTTAAAATCACTCAAAAGATATTTCAAAGAATCAGAACTGACCATCATCTACATATGTGTGTGTGCGCGTGTGTGTGTGCGTGTGTGCGTGTGCGTGTGTGTGTGTGCAAGCAGACATAAATATTTATATATATGCATATATGTATGTACATGAAGGCTTAAAAAAGAATACTTTCAACAAGCAGAAGTTTTCCAGAAAGACATAACTTTATCATTTAAATGGTGAAAAGACAACGGGAAGATAATAAAGAAGAGAAAGAAGTTCGGATATAATTAACTTACTAAATGATCAGCATTATCATATAGTGAAAGATTGCTTTCAGTTATAATAATGTTTAACCAATCACCTGAACAGACATTAATTCCAGCTTCACGGACATGTTGAAGGGTTTCCAGCCGCTCATCATAAGTTCTTGTTGTAATAATGTTTGGGTAATATTCTTTTGAAGTATCAAGATTATGGTTATAAGCTGTAAGCCCTGCCTTCTTAAGTTCAAGTGCTTGCTGCTTCTCCAGCATGCCCAAAGTGCAACATACCTCCATCCCCATATCCCTGGTAAACAATACACTTCAAATGTTGTTTGACTTTTGATGGAAGAATGAAAGAAACCTTAGAGACAAATATTAATTAGAGCAATGGCATGATAAAAACATTTTCAAATTGGCAGAAAAAAGAAGAAAAAAATCTTGAAAGAATGGTGTTAGTGACATGTAACCTCATCATTCTATGAAATATACATATATATACTATATTGGAAAAAAGAATAAAGGTTGCACATGTTTTTCGGTGGAGATTGTATGTTTCCTTCTGAGGAAGATTTACATGACGAAAGGAAATCATTTTTCAGGTTTTTCAAAGCATAAACCCAAACATAGAACTAATTAGTTTAAAACAAAACATGGAACGAAAATAAAACCAGTAGCAGAAAATTTAAGATCGCAACTTTCATGGGGAGAACAAACATCTTACCAATTGTTCTAATAACCTTTCAGAATCAAGTTATTTTGAAATTTCAAATATAAGTTAGGTAACAGAAATCATACTTTTAAAATAATTACTCAAGCTCTGAATTTCTCACATAAGTAATATGGTATAGATGATGCTTCATTACCTAATTTCTTTAACATATTCAAGAATTTGGTTGAAGTTAGTTTTCCTCCTACTGTGTCTCTCCGAGCTGCACCCATGCAAAAGCGTGTACTACCAGCCTCTTTTGCCTGCCAAAGTTAGAGAAATAACCGCAAATCAATAGATAGCAAAACAAGGGGTGACTAAAACTAGACTCGAAAAAAATCGAATTTGCGTGTTGAGTTATAAAATAGAACTCGAATAATTCAAATTTTTTAGTAATTAGTAGATTGATTTTTAAGTTCAAGTCAAGTCTCTCAACTCAACATGATATATAGATAAAAAAATATGAAGAAATATATAGGTAAATCATATATGTTTATAAAAAATAGTTTAAATTGAAAAATAGTAACATAGCATTATAAATATGTATAATTAAATTTAAACAAAAACTCGAACATTAGGTAAAAAAATTCAAATAAAGTTTGAATTATAAAATAATAACTTTCAAATTGAATAACTTGAAAATTTTTTACTCTCTTTCCAATACTCAACCCCTACAGAGAACATACAAAGAACGGCTTTAAGTACAAAAGATAGCAGTTTATACATATTCTATTAGTAGTAGTGGAAAACAGCAACCAACTAAGTAGAGAAAATGAGAAAGTTGAAATAGCTGAAACAGAATGCAAAATGAAATAAAAAAGAAATGGAGATAACCTGTTTAGCAGCCTCCAAAACGGCATCCTTGGTCATGAGTTTGTGGGCCTTCACGCTGGTATGGTACACTGTTGCACCTCTCTGAAGTTATGACCATGTCTGTGAACTTGAGCCTAAAAAAATATCAAAATAGATCAGATTTAAGAGGCATAGATTCAAGATAGAGAGAAGGAGAAGGAGAGGGGGGAGAGAGACCCCATGGAAAAGGAGATCGAGAAGAGGATAATGATAGATGAAGTCGATCTGATGACGAGTCCAGTCGTTTCTAGGACCTTCCCGGAGAGTTCTCTCGGCTTCAGTAGCGGCAGCGGAAACGGCGGAAGAAGAATAGTAGCAGCTACAACTTCTCAACATTACGTAGGTTTGTTTGTTTCATAAAATGTAAGATTATGAGGGGAATAAAAGATTATCAAAGAATAGGATTACTGAGAATGTTGTATTTTATGTTTGGTTGATTTAACAGGAATGTAAAATTATCGTGTTTAATTAAAGAAATAAAAAATTATTGAAATGTATATTTGACCAAATTATACTTATTATATATTTGTATAATATTACAAATTGTAAAATATTTATATATTTTCTTTAAAAAATTAAATTCATAATATTTATATAATTTTTTTTATAAAATTAAAAATATAAAAAAAGTTTAATGGAAGGGTAAAAAAAAATTTAACCTTAAACTTCATATAAAATTTTAATTATAGACTTTTTTTTATAAATCTAAAATAATTTAAGGATAAATTTGTAATTTAACCTTCGTAGAATTTTTATTATTCAATGACAGAATAAGGATATTTTTGAAATAAAAATAAAAATTTAATGACATTTTAGTCCAAAACGCCAGTAATGTTACAATACTTAAGGGAAGGGAGGTAATGACATTCCCAGTAATATATCTCAAAAAATTTACTATTGGTAAAAAAATATTATCGAAAATGAGATTCCCGGCCAACCAAATATGGGAACGTGGGATTTTCATCCTATAAAAATCTCACAATCCTTGAACCAAACACTCCCTACAAAATCGAATGGACAATATTTTTGTGTGTGTGTGTTTTGGGGAAGAAAATGAAATGAAATTGAGGCCAAGGCTTTTAGTCTGTTTTCATTCCTTCGTTTTCCCACTGATCAGATCTCATTACCACTACCACTACCACGCCAGACAGCATAGCAGAGCACAGTAAGTGAGTGATACTCATTTTACTTTCGTTGAAACTTCTGCTTCCTTGTGGATCCATCCACAGCGTTTTTTTT